AAAACTGCAAAGTAGGAACGCTATATTTATTTTAGTATTTATATTTTAAGGATTTAGAAACCCTTCCCACATTCTTGCAATGTTCTTAACTCTTAAACCTACGTCATTTTAACAACATACGTACAGTACACTATATGTAGCTACTACATTTTACGTACCAGCTCTGCAGAACACAGCAACAGCTCTCTTTTCCGGTCCGACTGTTCCGGTCTGACTGTTCCGGTCCGACTCGGTTTGCTTCTGCAGATGTAACCTGCAGAAACAAGCCCACAATCAATGTTGTCAACTCTTAAACCTACCAACTTTAACAACATACTTATATGTAGCTACTAAATTTTACTTACAAGGACGTCCCCACTTAGAGGTCCTCATTGGCCAGCTAGGAGATCTCAGGTTCACTGCTGAGTCTGCAGGTCCGGTTCTGGTCCGGATGACCACCATTAAATGTATATGAAAATTGTCCACCTGGATTGAGGATTGCTTTCTATTTTTTATATTGCCTAAAGTATAGTTTCCTTAAATGATTGGGGTGGCCAAAGAATAATCTGTGGGGGCCAAGGACACCAATGGCCACCCCCTGGCTCTGCTATTGCTTCCTGGTTGTGGATAAAAATGTTCCCTCATCACCAGGATCCGTCACTCTGCGCTGCCTCAGATAAGAATTACCGGTATTTTTTATTTTCTTACCTCTGGTCTTCTCTACAGTGTATCTTGCACCAAAAACATTAAGGTTTACTTGCATTCCCTGTTCAATTCCAGTCCAGAAAAACATTTATCTTCAAAACTACAAACATTCATTATTGAAATCCCTCAGTGACGGGGGGCCATTGGAGTACCGCTTGTCATTGTGAATGCGGTCCTAAAAAAGATATTAGAGACTAACAATGTGCAAAAGTTGGAGCAAATAAGATGCTCTGTACAGTTTTACTGAATTCTGGCATATCTAGAAGTGCTATTTTTGAATTGTTCAAAGTACTATTATAACAAGAGGGGGTGAATAAATAGGAAATGAGTGGGATAATAATGGATACAAAGCGTGGAAGCAGGAAAAGGACACGGGTCAGGAGGACAAACAGGGCTGTGTGACAGACATACTGTAGGTAAACGAGGTGTGGCTCAGCTCTGGGCCGCAAAATGAACGAGTTAATCTCATCCAAAAACACATTCACTGCCTTCTCATGGAATAAAGGAGTCCAGTGTAATTATCAAATAAAACATTAAATGTTTTATTAAATCATTTTTATTGTGCTCTCAAACCAGGAAAATGTGCCAATATTAGTATTTTTCATTTTCTTTTATTCTTTCAAGTTATTAAATGTTTTAAAGGATCATCTCGCATCAAGTTAAAAATTATTGTCACATTGATAATGTGTTTTATACTTTATTCACAAATGGGTACAATAAAACAGGACATAATGCCCTGTAGAATAAGTACATCTATTGTGTAAACTGATCTTAAGTTATCCCCAGCAGGTGATATTCTCGGTGGCTCTGACTTCTTTTTTTTATGAGTGCAGTAACAATAAGGCGTTTTATTTTATTTCAGGTGAGAGAGCATCTACAGAAAATGGGCCCTTTTCAGCCCATGAACATATTCCTCCGTCAGGAGATTGATCGAATGCAGCGGATCATAGTTCTGGTCCGAAACACTCTGACTGACCTCAAGTTGGCAATTGACGGAACCATCATCATGAGCGAGAACCTGCGGGATGCTTTGGACTGCATGTACGACGCTCGCATCCCTGCCCGCTGGATGAAGGTCAGTTGTCTTGAAACATACCTGAAGACAGAAATTCTACCCATCTTCTGTTTTCAGAGTCCATCTGTGACTCGGCCCTTCTGTTTTAGAGGTTCCTCTGCTCCATCACACTGAACTGGAAGGGGTGATGTCATCATTGAATCAGGTGTGTTGGAGCAGAAACCTCTCAAACATGCAGTATAGTGGCCCGCCAGGACCAGGATTGGACGTTTTTGGTCTGTGGGAGGAAACTCATTCATGCATAATGAGAACATGTAAACTCCACACAGAAAGGCTGAGAGGTAGACCTGTGACCTTCTTGTTGTGAGTCAACAGTGCTAACCACTGGTTCACCATGCCACCCTTGTTTATAAGATGTTCAGATAATTTACTGAAGGCAGTTGGACATTGTAAGTCAAACTCTGATTTCTGATTTAGCCCTTCTTAGTGCTACTTTTGATTTACGAGTTTTAGTATTATTTAATTATGAGTTTTAAAATTAGGCATAAGACTTTCCTTGTTGATAAATCCTATAGTTAGGGATGGCTTGGGTTTCCTGAGCTATCCCTTAGCTATAGGCAGCTGGAGGACAAACTGACCACATTTCCTCACTCTGCTGCTGTCTTTTCTTGCTCTACTCTACCTGTTTGTAATTATTTCTGTCTTTAACATGTGTTTTTGTCTGTCCTCCAATTGAAAGTACACCTGGACCGGTCATTCTGTGTTTGTTTCTCCTTCCTGTCCTCTCAAACCCCAGCAAGTCGAAGCAGACGGTCGCTCGTCCTGAGCCTGGTTCTGCTGGAGGTTTCTTCCTGTTAAAAGGGAGTTTTTCCTTTCCACCATTGCCTTTGTGCTTGCTCAGGATGGGAGACTGTGACGAAATGAAGATTCAGCACAATCTGCTAGCTTTCTTAGAAAGAGAACTTTACCAATTGGCTTTTTTAAGGAATGTGAATGTTCCTGTTCAGTGCCCTGAGATAACTTCTGTTGTTACTTGGTGCTATAGAAATAAACTGAATTGAACTGAATATTTTATGCCCATCCTTTAAATCCATTTCTGTAATAAATGGAAATAAAGCAGATCACTGTGACCAACTTAACTGGAACAATGGAGAGAACACTAGTAGAATGTGACATAACATATTTTAAATTAATCTTTTGGCTTTTAAGCCATGCTTTCACAAACAGACAATCAGCTCTTCAAGCTCTGACTGAGAATCATTCAGGACTTGAAGGGCTGTCTGGTTGTGTTACAGTTCTTCTACCTGTAGCACAGTTCTTCCTCCTGACCATTTGTTTCCACTCTGCTGTATTTTGCTGCTTCTGTTCCATTTTTTTTTTCCCACTTTAACACGAGTCATAATCATTTTTGACTTGCTTGCAATGCTGTTCTGACCCACCGTGGTGACAGGTCTCTCTTGTAAAGGAGTCCTCGAGGCTCAATGGGATTTACCTGTCTAAATAAAGGTTGAATGAAAAAAAACCCTTCAGTGCAGTACACCAAAGTCCATGCTCAATAATGTAAGTATAAAATCGTTGGTTATGTACTGTAACCCCAGATTCTATGAGTATAGGCGAAGCCCTTTTAAGGTTATCGCTAGTGGGTTTATCCCTTTGCATGCAGAGCAGCACTGAAAACTTTAGTCCATGCCCATCTGCTGTGTGGGCCTCACCCCCGGTCCATATAAATTACAGTGAGACCGGACAATCGGCTCCCAAATAGCTTTTTTCTTCAGCCATTTAGGAACCGGTGAGGCCCTGAGCTTAAAGGGCTATGCCTATACTCATAGAATCTGGGGTTACAGTACATAATCAACGTTCTATTTCGTATAGGCTTCGCCCTTTAAGGCTATCGCTAGTGGGTTAAAGGCGAAGCAGGATGTAGTCTATGCCTCACTGGGTCCATTCAGACACAATATGAAGCGCCCGCTTGCACCAAAAAACATTTCATCAACTCAGCCTTCTGTGTTCCATGCACAGGAGCGCCCCGGAGAGTAAAGATCTCTGACGGGGAAACAAGGGAAGGCTGAAACGCAGTCCTGCTGCTGAGAATGGAAAAGAACAGAGGTTACAAATTGTAACCGTGTAACGATGAACAGAGCAGGTCAAAAGCTCTTCAATATGAACTGATTAATAACAAATGAACTGATTAGTAATCAAATGAACTGATTAGTAACAGTAGTTATGAACTGATTAGTAACAATAAAAACAGCAGTCATGAACTTATGACTGATAACAAATGTCTCGCACTATAATTGCATGCAGTCAGATGTGAGTTTAAAACAAAATTCCATGAAACAAGTAAAAATCATTCTGTTAGAACTAGGGATGGGGCCGATCCGATCCAGTATCGGTATCGGGCTCCGCTACCAGCATAATTTACGTATCGGATTTTCTGATCCAACCTGCCGATATTTCCGATCCATGATGCATGTCTGTGGTTACGCTGCACATTGGCTTCAAACTACGGAATGGATTTCCTGAACGGAGGCGTGTCTCATGAACCCAGAGTAATAAGACCTGCCTCACATTCAGGAAATCCATTTCATAGTTTGCAGCCAGCTACTACGTGCAATAGCACTGTGGCTAACAGCTAACCAACTTTTCATCTAAACATGTCCGCTGTGTGGAAGTATTTTACACTAGAAACACCACAAAAGAAGACAGCAATGTGCAATGTCTGCAGAGCCATAGCACCACATTAAACAGCGGTTGTTAGTTTTACGATGGACATTTGATCTCTGGGGCTTCAGCAGTCTGTTATTTTCGTTCAGTTCGGAGAAGGCAGTCTGATTTCCGTCAGCCACGCTTAGTCTGACCCGCTCAGTCTGTCCGTCTCTGAGGAGTGGCAGACTGAGCGCCTTTTAGGAAACGCTTCATCAGCCGGTGATTAAAAACTGTTCTGTCACCGAAGCCCTCGTGACAAGAAGAAATAGCTGCAACTTAAGTCTTAATTGTGCTGAACGCTAGATTTCTGTCCATCAGCTGCTGCAGAAAGGACAGCCCGCCACCTGGTGGACATGAGTTGGCCTCTACACCTTTTTCCGTGCATCAACGCTGAAAAGCTGTCCACTTTGATGTGTACAGCACTGTAGTAGAAGTGGCTCATGAGTCTTGGATTGTGCGCACCGCTTCTTGAGAGAGACCCATTTTCTCTAAGCGGATCCGCTCAGCGGCCAGACCCAAAGGTGCTGGCCTATTTCTGGGTGACTCCTGATCGCTCTTCCTACCTGGAGGAGAGCATCGTCCCTCCATGGCAGTTTCCACGGCTGGCCTGATAACAGATGTTGCAGGTTTGGGAACCACGGGGCGCTCATGTGCTCGGGGGCTACAAGGATGGCTGACAGTTCTTCCTCCCGGACTCGGTTCAGAAACCGTGATATTAGAGGGACTGGAGGAAATGCGTAAAGGAGCATTTTTGGCCACGGGCTGTGGGCAAAAGCGTCCACTCCTAATAGGTGGATCATCCCGTGGCACAGTTGATGTGAGCTGATGCGCACTGAGGAGAGGTGTGAGCGCTTTTGCTCTGCTCAGTCAACCCCTCCACTCTGGTGATGGGAGCAGGATCAGATGAAGCAGATCAGATGGAGTCAGGGCGGCGAGCTAGGGTGGAGCCAAACCTTCTCGCTAGATCATCCGATCTGGGCGAGGGAAGGAGAGGGACGGAAAGTCCCTTTTTGTCAGCTGCCTCCTGGATTATGCCGGGCAGCTTCAAAAGGAGGGCACTGATGGCTGGGAGCGGTGTGTTCGCCGATGCGGAAAGGCCCGGGGGGGGGGGGGGGGGGTTATCCGCTCGGCCCCCCCGTTCCAACACTACGCTCTCCAGGAGGAAACAAGCAGCGGGGCTGCTGCTGACATCGCCTTTTCTGGAGGAATCATGCAATTTGCTCCGTGACTCAGCATCAAAAAAGGCGATGGCTTCGTCCAGCGAACAATCCCCTGCCACAGAAAAACACTCCTCGATGTTAGCCTTGAACAAGGCTGCTCGTCTCTGCTTCTCCTCAGGAGGGAGGAGGTCACAGGGATGGCAGGAGGCGAGGTCGGTGTGGCGGGGACCCAGGCATCCTTCGCAGACGTCGTGCCGGTCAAAGCTCAAAATGTAGCCGGTCTGGCAGGACGGGCACAGGCGGATGGCACTGGTGCTGGACATCTTCTTCTTGAAAAACAGTGCTGGTTGCTTGCTGAAGAAAAAATGGGAGCCGATTGCCCGGTCTCACCGTAATTTATACAGACCGGGGGTGAGGCCCACACAGCAGGTGGGTGTGGACTAAAGTTTTCAGTACTACGCTGCGCGCGAAGGGATAAACCCACTAGCGATAGCCTTAAAGGGCGAAGCCTATACGAAATAGAATCAACAATGTTCCGTCAGGTCATCTGGACAGTTTCTTTTTTTGTGCTGAGACGTTTCACCCTCCATCCAGAAGGCTTCATCAGTCAAGGAAACACTAAAAAAACCTGACTTTCCCTCAACAGCTTACTCCAAAGTGGATAAAAACAGTTATGTTGGTGCTAAGATGGCCTCCGGTGCCCGCCCTCTCCCTCATCGACAGTCGTGTCTAATTAGTTCAAAACACCAAAGTCCATGCTCAATGATGAAACATTCTGGATGGAGGGCAAAATGTCTCAACACAAAAAAAATAAAATAAAAACCCTGTCCAGATGACCTGCCTGAATATTGTTGGATCAGTGCAGTACAGTTCATCTTTGTTTTTGTTTGCAGGCATCGTGGGCCTCCAGCACCCTGGGATTCTGGTTCACAGAGCTGCTTGAGCGAAACCGGCAGTTCCAGGCTTGGATCTTTGAAGGCCGTCCCAACTGCTTCTGGATGACAGGCTTCTTCAACCCACAGGGCTTCCTGACAGCCATGAGACAGGTACTCCCAGTACCTGCCCCCCCACCCCACACACACACACCAATACACACACACACACACACACACACACACACACACACACACACACGATAATTATGTTTCAATAATAAATTAATATCTTGTCCATGAGTGTGTTTGGTAGATAAATGCAGGTTACAGGTTAGATTTATTTGTCGTGCAAAATCAAAACAAGGTCAACAATGTAATGAAATGCTTAATACGAGAAGAACCGTCTCGACTCGCTAAAAAAAAAAAGTTAAAAAACCCCCAACAACAACAAATATCAAATCATGCAGCAAAAATACTAAAATCATACAAAAAAAAAAATACTAACATACTAATAAAAACACATTAAAAAATATCCTGATGCATGCTCAATAATCCAGTTAGAAAAATCCAAAAAAGTTCAATCTGGTCCTCTGGACATTCAAAAAAAAAAAAAAAAGAAAAAAAGAAAAAGAAAAATAGAAACGTTTCGTCTCTCATCCGAGAGACTTCCTCAGTCTGAGGTGCTGTTTTCAGCACATTAAAAAATACTACTAACATACTAATAAAAACACATTAAAATACTACTAACATACTCTGGTCCGGTCCACAGCTTGATAATAATAAGGACTGCAGCAGCTGCCCTCACAGACCTGCTGTCCAGAACTGGGTCCAGTAGACAGAGAACATCCCAGGTTTCCCTGCGGAACCTAACGGGTCCGTACCGCATGTGTAGGCAGACGGAGGATTTTTAGGAGGAAATATTCCATGAAGCACTACATAAATAGTTTTGAAACTTGTAGAAAGTAATCCTTGGTTGTACATTTACAACTGAGAAGCTTCAGATTCAGCTCGATTAAAAATGGCCGTCATGGCCAACAGACCATAAAAGAAACACAAAACTGGCTCTAACTCATTGAGTTTTATGGATATCCTGATTATCTTGTAGCTGAGACTTCAATTATTTAGTTAACTCTGTCGGTCTGTTAGCAAAATATACTATGATCAGTTGACATATTTTAATGAAACTTTCAGGAAGTAATTATTGGATGAGTGTCTACAACAGAGAACCTTCTGAAACCAACCCAATTCTTGATGTCTGCCACGGCCAGCTGACTTCAGAAAGCACAAACATGTCTACAACGCAGTCAGATTTACTGCTGTTAGGCTGAAATCTGATGTGGTAGCTTCTGTAGAAGCTAAGAATAATTCACAACACATTCTTCAAGTGTTTATGCAGATTTTTGCCTAAAACATAGACATTTATTAATTAAAGGCCTAGTGTTCCTTGAAGCAATGCTTATCATTATAATCAAAGTTTAAACCTAAAATAATCTCACGAGGAGCAGGAACAGAGTTTATAAACCAAGCTGGGCTCAATAATGTAATGCCACAGCTTCTTGTGGGAGGTGTTGGGTTGATTGTGAGCTGCTAACAATTCAAACTTTAGCTCAATATCTGTTCAATTAAGTGTTATAATTGTTTTTGCGTTGGCTATGGAAGCTGTGGTGGCCATCTTGGATTGGGTTGACTCTGATGTATATGTGCAGAAGTTGTACACGTAAACCCACTGACTACTACCTGAGGGTTTAATGGAAATCTTTCCACTGGTTCATGCAATATTTTGATACAAATAAATGAAGAGAAACTGGACAAAAATGTAAAAGTCTTTTGACTTGATGTTAGAAAAATCCTTTGAAATAATTACTCGAGAGTCGGGGATTGAAATTTGACAAAACATTATGAAAAATTCTTGCAAAGAGAGTGATATTGCCCTTACATCTAACTGAACGACCCCTTCAGAACAACACAAAGTGTCATCCTTAGAGCAACATCCAGCTTCTGACAATCAGCGCAAACATACAATTATTTATACATTCCCAGAACCAAGGAGGAGGATGTCCTCCTCCTGTGCAGACACTGTCTCCACATTTAAACCAGCTGGGAGACTCCTTGTCTCCTCCTGCACAGTTTGACTCGTCTGCTGAAAAGAACGTTTTGTTCGAGTGGTTGAAAAGTCGGGGACATAACAGATAAAATACTGTGGCTGTGACAAACACTCTGACAACAGGAAAAAGGATAAAACACATGGTATAAATCATTTTTCTATCATTCGGCATGAGAGAATGTCTTGCCACATTTGAGAGGTTCTCATTTTCCTACACTTGACACTTGAATACCAAATTAAATTTTAGTCAATTTTAATAAAGCCTTCCATGTGGCACCATCAACTTTCTACAGGAGCCCAAAACAGTTCTACCTAACACCGATTTGATGTTCCTGGGTTTGTTTAGCTGTAATTGCTCCTAGTCGAGCTATTTTAATCTGTTCAGTGATTCAGATGAATAAATAAATAAGTTAAAAATCAAATGAAACTATTTGAATTCATTTTTGTCACTTTTGCAGAAAATAAGTCAAAATGGAAACTGTGTCTGCTGGACTCAACTCTGTCAGAAAAGCATGTCTTGGACTTCTGAATGAAAGAAAATGATCATCCACTGCTCCTTAACTTTTGAACTTTTCCTAATTCAAGATGGCTGCCAGAGCCAGCCACCTTTGGCCTGTACAAAAACTGGCTATACCTCAATGAATTGTACAGATTATGAGTTAAAATTTGGTGGTAGTAACTGAGAGTCATGCTCTGAGCACTAACAGGTCATGTTCAAGATTACGTAAATTATTATTAATTCAATCTAACTGCCCATCACTCCATCATTTCTCATCATGAGATGATTTTAGTCGGGGCTGTAATCAGAACTGGTTCTGATAAAACTCATGTTAGCTGTTTGAGCTGCTTTACCTCCACATTTGTCTCTGCACTCCTAGGAGATCACCCGAGCCAACAAGGGCTGGGCCCTGGACCGCATGGTGCTGTGCAACGAGGTGACCAAGTGGATGAAGGATGACATCATTCACCCACCCACAGAGGGGGTCTACGTCTACGGTCTCCACCTGGAAGGGGCTGGCTGGGACCGCCGCAGCTGCAAACTCATCGACTCCAAACCCAAAGTCCTCTTTGAGATGATGCCCGTCATCAGGATGTTTGCTGAGAACAACGGTGGGTTTTGTCAGACACATGGAGGAGGGGAGGGGAGTGGGGGTCCAGCAGCTCTAATCCTGCCTGTCTTAAGAGGATCTTAAAGTCTCATTCCTCCTCTAGGCTTCCCAGCCCACGCAGTCACTGGATGGATGTAACATTTAAATGTCAAGCTGACTTAATGCTGTTTATGATGTCGGGGAATAGATTTCCAGCTGTTTGTGGCCCAGAATTTGTTCTGGATAAAACCAGCGCGCCAATCAGCTGCAACATGAAAACCACTGAGAGGGAAGGGGTAGAAGGGGACTAACAGGAACCGCTGTGTTAAAATGCATCACCGTGACACATCTGCAAACACAAACAATCCAAATTACATAAAACATATTCAAACAAATGCTGCCCGGGAGCTGACAGCATGGTTGGAGAAGGGATTTTCTGGGATTTTCAGCAGTTTGGAGGGATTTTACAGTCCTTCAGCCAATAAGAATACAGTGTGTCACAAAATCCCTCCGTCATTTAGAGATCACTTTCTTAAGATTTGTTCAGATACAGAATGGGAAACAGATGGAACTGATTATTGTAGCAGCTGATCCAAAAAAATTATTTTGCATTTTGAAAGCGAAATCAATCTTCTTAAAGATCCCAATAAATCTTTAACTTATGTTAAAAAGCTAAAAGATGTTTAGTCCCCGAAGCCTCCAGAACCCAGAGTTTCCCAGATTAATATACCAAGTGGTTTGTTGTCGACACTGGTTAGATCAAACAGCCTACATGGATGTTTGTCCTGAAGTGAGCTTTAAAACGGTGGACTTGTTTGAATTTAAATAAAGAATCTGAACTCCCAGAGTTATTGCCATTTGTGAACTAAATCTCTTCTACAAAAGTGGGACTTTTAACTTGATAGAACGACATGCACAGCTGAATGGAAACTGACCTGGGCTTAGACACTTAATGTTTGTAGATCATCAAAGTAAAACTTTTTGTCCCTTTATAAAGTCGGAAAAGACAGAGTGTTTTAACTGGAGCATTACTGAACAGAAAGTTTAAAACAATATTGTCAATCACTGTCTGGATCTGTAGGAACATTTGTGTGATTTTCTCATATTTTTTAATTAAAGAATTCCCATAGCACAGCTGAAGATGGATTTGATGAACATCAGCAGCTTTAACCCTTAAGGCTCCTTGAAGGCCCAAACATGCACATTCTGCTTATTTGTTATTTTGTATTCTCAGTATTTCAGTCAGTTTAAAAACTAATTGTATAAAACTCGTCTGGGATTTGTTTTTTTATTGTTATTTTTCTCATTACACGATCCTCTATATTGCAAGGTGTACTTCTCATCCTATCTGTAAGGGAGAGTCCAGCTACCCTGCGGAGGAAACTCATTTCAACTGCCTGTATCCACTATCTCGTTATTTCAGTCACTACACAGAGTTCGTGGTCATAGGTGAGGGTAGGTACATACGTAGGTACATACAATCTATGCTTTTCCGACTGAGGCCCATGGCCTTAGATTTGGAGATGCTAATTCTCATTCCAGCCACATCACACTCGGCTGCGAACTGCTCCAGTGAGAGCTGAAGATCACGGCACAATGATGTCAACAGGACCACATTATTTGCAAACAGCAATGATGGAATCCTGAGACCACCATACCATATTCCCACCCCCTGGTTGCTCAGAAAAATTCTGTCCATAAAAGTTATGAACAGAATCTGTGACAACAGGCAGTCCAACTCCCACTCTGAAGGGGTCAGACTTGTAGTCATCAACGTGAACCAAACCGTCACGTTGCTTGTATAGGGACCAAACAGCGTGTTGCAACAGGCCCCGAATCCCCCCCCCCCCCCCCCACACACACACACACACCCATAGTGTACCTCGAGGAACATGGTTGAAAGCCTTCTCCAAGTCCACAAAACACATGTAGACTGGATGGGCAAACTCCCATGACCCCTCAAGGACCCTAGTGAGGGTAAATAGCTTGTTCAGTGGTGCACAGACAGGATGGAACCTGCACTATTCCTCCTGGATCTGAGGTTCGACCAACGATTGGACTTGCTTCTCTATTACCCATGAACAGACCTTACTAGGAAGGCTAAGGCGCGTGATGCCTCTATAATTGGAGTACTCTCTCCAGTCCCCCTTTTTGAAGAGAGAAACCACCATCCCATTCTGCCAATCTAGTGGCACTGTCCCCAATGTCCATGCAATGTTGAAAAGGTGTGTCAACCAAGACAGCCCCGCAACATCAATGGCCTTAAGGAAATCAGGGCGGATCCTGTCCACCCCAGAGACCTGCCACCAATCAGCTTTTTAACTACCTCGGTGACCTCAGGCACGGTTATGGACAGACCAACCCTTAAGTCCCCGAACTCACCTTCCTCCATGCACATGCCAGTGGGATTAAGAAGGTCCAAGAAATATTATTTCAACCTCCTAATGACACCATTGGTTGAGGTCAACAGCACCCCACCGTGAACACTGCTTGGGTTCAGATCAGAGAGGCCGTTTCTCCCAGTCACACCCCTCCAGGTCACACTGCCGTTACTCACATGAGCATTGAAGTCCCCAGCAGAATAAATTAGTCCCAAGCTGGCGCACCTTACAGCACCCATGCTAATGACTCCAAGAAGGCCAGATACTCTGAAATGCCATTTGGTGCATAGACACAAACAACAGTCAGAGACTCTCCCCCCACCCAAAGGCACAAGGAAGCTATCCTCTCATCTACTGGGAAAAACTCCAACACACAGGTACCAAGTTAGAGGCATAGATTTATTAGGTATACATGAAAAAACCTGGGGCCCGGTCAGGCTCAGCCTGAAAAAGCGAGTTGCCTTCCTGTGGGCCCACCACCTGCAGGAGGGGCCATACAAGTTGAGTGCATGACTTTATAAGCAGTGGCTGAAGGCAGTGGGCATCGGCGCTCTGACCCTGGCTTACCAAAGCTGGCTCTTGGGCCATGAAACGTAACCTCTCGAGCAGGGAAGGAGCTTGAGCTTGTGCAAGAGGTTGAGAGGTACCGACTAAATATAGTTGGGCTCACCTTGACACACAGCATGGGCTCCCAAACCAATCTCCTTGAGAAAGGCTGGAACTTATTCCACTCTGGAGTTGCCCATCATGAGAGGTACCCCCCGACTTCAATATAAAAGGAAAACAGGTTTTAAGTGTTATGAACACCTCAACACACCCACGACTCTGCTTTATATATTATTTTTGTGATCCTTTTTGTCCCCCCAAAAAATATTGATTTCCTTAGTGGAAAAAACACAATATGCCATATTGTTCAAAATGAGATGCCAAGTGGAATAATTGATGTGAGTTTATTACAGGCTTCACCTTGGTCAATGATTGATAGCATTAATTTTGATGCATTATTATTTTTGGAGCACTGAGACATTTTTTCATCAAACTTACATTCAGTGCCTTTAGGACTCAGGTCCTTGCTAAAATAGAAATGTAAAAAATATATACATTTATATATGAAAACCAACACAAAAACTTAGCTCACTCTTCCACTTGGGCAATTCAAATTCACTTCAAACTCTGGTCCTCTACCATTGGCTTGGGAGCTTCAGAGTTCTGTTCAGTATCTTAGCTGTTCCTAGGTCTGTGCTCTTCTGAACAGAGATCTCTGAGGTTGTTACTAGGATCTGCCAGAACCACTCTTCCGGTTTGGGGGTCCCAGCACCAAGTGCTCCAATGACTACTGGGACTACTGACACTTTGACTCTCTACAACTTCTGCATTTCTTCTTTATGTATTTTGTATTTCTCCAGCTGCTCCTTCTTCCTGACATTAGTCACTTAGGATTAATACATCTATCATCACTACCTTCTTCTCTTGCTTGTTGATCACCACAATGTATAATTGGTTAGCCATCACCTGTTTGTTGTCTGGATCTGGAAGTCCCACAATATCTTAGCCCTTCTATTCTCCACTACTCTTGGTGGTGTCTCCTACTTTGACTGTGGGACCTCCAGTCCATATTTGGCACAGACATTTCTGTATATTATTCCAGCCACTTGGTTATGGTGTTCCACATATGCCTGCCTGGATCTTACACCCTGGACTGTCTCAGGGGCATCTTTGCACAGCCTGCATCTTGACTCTTGCCTGGTATGGTAGACCCCTGTCTCTACTGCTCGTGCTGAGGGCCCATTGTTGTGCTGCCATGATTAGTGCCTCTGTGCTGTCCTTCAGTCCAGCCCTCGCTAGCCACTGGTAGGATTTGTTGATAGCAGCCACTTCCTCAAACTGCTGGTTGTACATGCCAAGCAGGGGCTTAACTTTATATGATGGCTCCTCTTGTTCCTCCTCTTCCACATTGGGTTTCTGCTGCTGCCTGAGATTCACTCATCAGTTCATCATCTGGGGTTTTCCTCCTAATGTACTCCAGGATTTTAGGTGTTTCATCCTGTACAGTGCGCAGGTATCTCTTGAAAATGAGTCCTTGTGACTCAATGAGACTACCTGTATAACTAAAGGTTGAATTAATTTATTACATTTTTTTTTACTCTTTAATAAAATGGAGCATTACAGGTGCCTCATTGTTAATATGCATCAAACATGTTTCAGCCAACATGTCTGTAAACTCTGTTAGGTGAAGCTGAGTGGGTTTGGGGGGCATCTCATTTTGGTCTTGAGTGCACAGATGCTTTCTTGGCAAAAAGACAACAATATAATGTATGAAGGTGGTTTTAATGTTATGGCTGACCAACAACAGACACATCTCTAACAGCTAATGATGCTGCCTGGCAAATATAATAAAACATTGGTGTAAAAATGTTTAGACTTTCTTAGTGAACAGTCTTTTTTTATTTCAGTTTTGGTCGCATAGATTGTAAAAACTGCTAGGGCTGAAATAAAAAGTGTTTTTATGTTAATGAAGCTTCTAGCAGTTAATCGTGTGGTGATTTAGCAGACTAACCAGTCACGTCTAAAGACAGCTGTGAGAGCAGCATTAATCATTTGTGTTTGATTTGTAGCAGAATTGACTTGATAAAAACTAGATGTTCAATTCAACAGATTTCTGTCACAGCATCACTTATGTAAACATTTTAGTCTTCAAGTAGTTTAACAGACAACTGCTACTGGTTAATGTTCTCATAAAAGTTCTATTTCATTTTGTGTGTGTGTTGCAGGTATGAAGGACTCTCGCCTCTATTCCTGCCCAGTTTACAAGAAGCCAGTGAGGACGGACATGAATTACATCGCAGCGGTGGACCTCAAAACTTCTCTTCCTCCAGAATACTGGATCCTCCGTGGGGTGGCTCTCCTCTGTGATGTCAAATAATCACTACATAAACTCACTTTTTCTCGCTCACAACCCCCCCCCCCCCCCCCCCCACCCCCACACACACACAGACACTGGAATGTCATTGAGTGTGCAGAATTAAACTTTTGATCAAAATTTGATTGCAGAACGAGGCAGATTTATTCAAACTAATTCAACTAAATCATTTTAAGTGATCCTCATCTGTTTTTAATACATAGAATAGTTAATGAACAAGCAGTACACTACTTTTACCACTTTTACTTTTGCGTTCCCTCGCAATACTTTTGCGTTCCCATGCAAAAGTTTTTGTACTCCCTCGCAATCCTGTACTGTATGTAGTGTTACCTCACAGACAACAAACGTTCCTCCCTCAAAGAAACTGGTCCAGATGACATGATTTAATGGAGTTTTGTTTGGAAATCAGCCTTAAATATAAGGATACCTAGTGTATGCTGCAGTGATAAAATTAGTTTTACGTTGGATATTTCACGTTCATGCTCTGTAGATTCAGGGCTTCATCATTCAAGCCGACGCAGGCACTCTGATTTCCTTCAGCTGCTCTCAATCTGTCCCTCCTCCAAGGAGAGATGGTTCTCTTAGGGACCGTCAACAAATTACTGGGCTAATGAGCTTGGTCTGAACACTGTTATACTATTTTAGATATATTTCCAGAGTATTTGTCAAAGCAGCACCATGCATCATAAGTTTTTTTCAGTATATTTCTGCATGGTAATAAATCATGAATTGTCTCACCATTTAAAATCCAAAAGAACAAGGTGGCACTTGCATTTCAAAAGTACTGTAACTTTCTTTTAAAGCATCAAAGTTCATTTACAAATTCAAAGATTCAAGATTCTTTATTTTTCATTCACTTCCGAAGGGCTTCATCAGTCTGAGGAGTCCCAAGTAAACTGTTTTCCCCACTAAGCAATACACAACTTTAGTGGACCAACCAGTTTGCTGGTTTTGCTGGTGACTGTTGAAGCCCTCCGAATGGAGGGCGAAACGTCTTTCCACAAATAAACTGTCCAGATGACCTGACTGACCATTATTGTATTTTGTACCTGGATGAATGAGCATGAACTTTGATGCTTTAAAAGAAAGTTACAGTATTTCTGAAATGCAAGTGCCACCTTGTTCTTTTGGATTTTAAATGGTGAGAATCCATGATTTATTACCATGCAGAGATATACTGAGAAAACTTTAGTTATGATACATGGTGCTGCTTTAACAAATACTGTGAAAATACAGTAATTTGTTGACGGTCCCTAAGAGAACCATCGCTCCTCGGAGTGACAGACAGAGCAGCTGAGCGACATCAGACTGTCTGCGTCAGCTCGAACGAGGAAGCCACCACTGAATGCACGGAGCATGAACGTGAAATATCCAACGTAAAACTAATTTTACCACTGCAGCACACGCTGGATATCCTTATATTTAAGGCTGATTTCAAAATTAATTTATTAAGTTTATTTATATAGCGCCAAGTCACAAACTCATGCACGAACCTCAAATACGGGTGTCTGCTGTTCTCTATGAGGTAACACTACATACAGTACAGTATTGCGAGGGAACGCAAAACTTTTGCGAGGGAAGACAAAAGAAAAAAATCCCCCACGTCCCCTCCGGGGCTCTGTAGTGCACAGATGTGTGCAGAGATTTTAATAGTAAATGTTTGTAGTTTTGGAGATGAGTTGAATTGAATAGAGAATGTAAGTAAACCTAAATGTTTTTTGTGCAAGATATTGAAGTGGGGAGGAGTTACACTGTGGAGAAGAACAGAAGGTTTTTTGGTCTGAGGCAGAATGCTGATCCTGGTGAGTGAGGGAGACATTTTATTCACCACCAGGAGCGACGGTGGAGCCAGGGGGTGGCCAATGGTGGTCTTGACCACCATAGATTAATCTTGGGCCACCTTAATCATTTAAATAAATTATACTTATGCTTAGATACAGCCTCACATCAAAATGAAAGTTGGTACCTCGCAGATTTCTCCAAGTTAATGTGCTCAGCACAGAGACGGGCGGATTCACCCTCTTCGCTCTGTAACGGACAGTAAATCTGAGTCCATACGAGAGTGCTGTTGCAAGTGAACGAAAATGCATCTTTAAATAACACCATCAGTCTGAAGCTCTGAGCTGATTAAACTGTAATACATCGTCAGAGGAGGAGGGAGCAGCTGCCCCATGAGGGGTAAAGACCACACTCAGATCTTGTCTGGCTTCCAGCTGAAAGTACAGCAGGTTGTGATAAGCTCCATTTTTCTTTTTCTTCTTTCGGCAGCTCCTTTTTTCAGGGGTCGCCACAGCGAACTAATCTGGATGAAGACTTGGCTTTTTTTTTTTTCATGCTGGATGTCCTTCCTGATGCATCGTCAGCCCACTGAGCTACCACAGCCCTCTGTGTGGAGCAGAGAGCTGCTATCAAGAGCACCCAGGAGAGCAGATGTTGGGGATTAAGAGCCTTGTTCAAGGGCCCTGAGTGGGGAAAATGAGGGTGGAGGCAGATGTGGTTGTTTCACCGTTCCTAAACACATTTCAATGTTGTCAGTCCAGGGAGTCGACCCGGCGACTTTCAGAACACAGGCCCACCTTCTTTAGTCTCTGCGCACCACTCCCCTCCCTGACAGGCTCTCCATAGTTGTCATATTTATGTCTGGTCAGTAGTTTGAATCCTCTCTGGCTGTCTTCATAATTTGTCACTAAACTATGAGAATATATTTCCAGTTGAAACGAAAGAGGAAACAGATCAGTGTCAAGTCCTCCTTGTCGGAGACGAACCATCAGCTGACGTAACAGCCCAGTATAAAGGGACATTTCCACCATCTTAGCATCTATTGTACAGGCAGTAGTTCTGTTTTTAAAGGAACTTGGAACAAGAATACATAGAAATATTTATTCAGTTTTTACAATAAAAATCAATGGCATCAAAACATCAAAACACTTTTTTGGGAGTATTTTCTTTTCTTACAAAATCATTAACAGCATACAGACTGAAGCTACCCTGTACAACAATCAGGCTCCAACTACTTAAAACTAGATTTACAGTAAAATGATATAAACGTGTTTGGCTCAGACCAGAGCAACAGAAACCAGAGCCCAGATGCATAACTGTGTGAAGAACAGAACATTTTGTGGTGTTTAGTCACACTGCTGAAGGCACATTGATGCCAAATTTAGACTCAAAATTAAAGCAGAAATAACTTTTACAGATGTTTTATGGCTGTGACTGACAGATGAGACAGATATGGGAAACTGCTGGATTCAAAGTAAACAACAAGAATGTGATCAACATTTTGACAGATGTGTGTAGATTTCTAAACTTGCAAACACTAAATAACCACACCCTTCCCTGTAAACTCTACTGTCTCCATCTTAAATGTAATTATTTAAACTCGCAGAAATAAAGTGAACACGTTAAACATGTTTTCTCGTGTCTGCTTTCTATGCACGTCACTGTTCTGCATCTGGCTCTAAAGGTTGTGTTTCCAGCAGGCAGGATGAACATTTTGAACCTTCAGAGTACACAGAAAGTAGAAATAACTTCATAAACCTCGGATATGTTCTGCACTCAGACAACTACTAAATGTTTTTGAAGTTATGATACCATGTGGTCTAACCAGCTTTATCTGTTGTCTCTTTTCAAGTATCAGCCGTTTCAAAATACTTTTAGGGAGCACAAACTTTCTTTCACTCATACCACCAGTGTGGAGCTTAGAAAATCATCTTACATGCTCAGTTGTAGTTTCTAAGCAAACTGCTCTTGGTGTTCTTCGTTTTGTAGCTACGGTGTAACGATCGGGTTTTGGGAGACTAATCTGGATCAGTCAGTCTGACTCACCTGCTCCATTGTGGTTTCTGCAGCTCGTTCAAATTGCAGCATGTTTTCAATGTTTGCTGCCTAGAAGTGAGTAAATGTACACAACAGCTGCGTCAGAGCTTCAAAGCAGATGAAAACTGTTCGCTGTTCAGATCGGACTTCTTCCCGGGTCTCGGTTTCTGTTCAGATGAAAGCTCCTTGGTCTCAGATCAAAGCTGTTGTTCGTCTCAAAGACGATCTCACGGCATCACGTTCCCTTGAGACAGCGAGCGAGTCATCTCCGTGTGCACATAGAAGGTCTTGAGTTCTCCTTTGCCCTTGACATTGATGATGCCTCGACAGGAGCACACGTAGCCCAGAGTCAGGAGGACGAAGCTCGTCTCCTCCGTCACCTGCAGGGAGAAACACACGGGGAGCGTTCACCACGCCGCTCATCCTAAACCACTGGATTTGTTTTCAGCTCTACACATTAGTCTGCTAACCGTTACCATATCCACCTAAAGCAAAGGTCTCCACAGCATCACAGCAACTCTGGTCTAATTCAAAGACTAAATGTTGTGTTTAAACTTAAACCTGAAGAAACGTCACTGCCTCCATTGTTTCTCTTATAAGAAAGAGTTTTAGTCACCACAGCTTTCACATGAACAAGCTCAGTCTATAAGCAACACTAAACAAAATGTTCTCTGTGGACGTTTTAAATAGAGGGGTGGAAATGTGTCCAACTTTTAAAAAAAATCCCTGCATTTCTTCCTTTTATAGCTAAAAATATCAACAGACAGCTTTCAAAATACAATCAGGCCTGCTGCAGTGGTGCTGCCCAACAGAAGCTTTTATCAACTGTGCTCCAGCTGTGGAGAATAATCCAGCGGTCTGAAGCCTGTACAGGTCCTGCAGCCACACGCCACGCTGCTGGAAAACCATTAGAGGTTATCAGCGCTCGGACAGGACGCCAATTGAGGATTCAAGATTTGGATGAGATGACCTTGCGGCCATAAATGACGTGCAGACGGACAAAAGGTTTTAATTTTAAACAAGCGTGCACCAAACGTGTTGAAGACGACGCGCTCTTCTGGTGAGAAGCAGCTTCAGAACAAAACAGAACATCTTTGTGTGTCTTAACACATCAAAATGTTTTCAGCGCCAAAGGAATGAACTTATAGTTGGAAGAAAAAAACGTTCTCGTCACACGAGGCACATTTTTGAACGCAGCTCCAGTCGGAGCTTCTAAAAGCAAACTCTTAAAAATAATCTCTTCTAAAACTGACTTCTTACCCGAGCTGCAAATCTAACAATGTAATTAAGAGAAGTAACAAGTGGTACGCTGATGTACCATGTCGTTGAGGGATTTGAACAGTGAATGTTTTTAGTTTTGGAGATGAGTGGTTTTTTTTGGACTGGACTTGAACAGGGAATGAAGTAAACCTTAATGTTTTTGATGCAAAATGTTCAAGTGGGGATGAGTTGCACTGTGCAGAAGAACAGAGGGACGTTTTTATTTATTTATTTTGTTTGTTTAAGGCAGCGCAGAGTGACAGATCCTGGAGTGGAGGGAGACACTTCATCCTCCACCAGGTGCAGTGGTGGAGCCAGGGGGTGGCCAGTGGTGACCATGATCTCCATGAATTAATCTTCAGCCACCCCAATCATTTGAGGAAACTATATTTTAAACAAAATAAAAAGCATAGCTTCCTCAGTCTGGGTGGATGGTTTTTATTGATGGTGGCCATCTTGGATGTTTGATGTGGCAACCCAATCTTTGACAGGGATGTTTCTCACGCTTAGATGTAGCCACACACCAGAATGGAAGCAAGTACCTCAGTTTTTATTTTCCAAGTTGTGCTCACAATATGCACGGACAGATGGTATTTTCAATCCCTCCTCTTCGCTCAGCGATGGGGGGAAATAAAAGTTATTCAAGTTGTTTGGTACGTCACTAAATCCAACACCTTGATTATGATTTACAATACACATTAAAATAAATTGGACCTTATACCAAATCTGCCCATTGGTTAGTTGAGAAACAGTAACTGTTTCTGGACTGTTGGACAGTGGCTGCATTACACAACATTTTGTCTCCTTTATTAAAGTAAACTTGACATCTGTCAGCATTTCATCACATTTCTCAAATATCATCATAGAATTAATAATAAAATGGTTTTCAGGTTTATCTTTGCTTTGTTTTACTTCTTCTCTGAGCTTACTTTCACATAAATAGAAACAATAATCTACAGTAAATTGTTCTTTCTTCAGAAAGCTGTTCCAGTTTCAGGGGATTTGTTTCTGCCTTCAGTTTGGACCGGTCCACTGGTCATGAGCTTGGACTATTATCCTGTTTCTTGGTAACGCTGACATTTAACAGCACATTATTAGGTGAAAGTCAAAGGAAGCAGATTTTCTTCACTCACCTGGATTTTCCCCAGTACTCCAGTGCTTTCCATCCTGCTGGCTACATTTACTGTGTTCCCCCAGATATCATACTGAGGTTTCTGAGCTCCAATGACCCCGGCTATCACTGGGCCATGGTTAATACCTGACAAAGGAAACCGTGTTATTAGAAACCTTCCTGATTTGTTCTAATTTACTGCATTTAGAAAACACCACACCTTTCTTCACTTGTATAATTTTATTTTCTAGGAATGTGAACAAACACATGAGAGCAGGCAGGTATTAGTTTTGTCTCCTTCCTGTGCGTGAGGACCTGCCTGATGGGACACACTGGACTCTGTCTGAAGCAGCAGGGGTGTACAGTCACACACATGCACACTGCTGAGTTAATGGAGCATCTCCTGCTGAGACCTGCTCTGTTCTGCTGCTCACAGGAAGCAGGAGCTGCTCTGCACTGACGCTCACTGCATGAACGTTGTTTTAAACATCAGTGCGTTTCTGGATATTTCTGCAAGGATAAGTGATCTCAACAGACATATTTTTTGCCTTAAATGACATACACTGGCCAGTTAAAATGCCTTTTAACATAATCTAAAAAAGAAATAAATAGAAAATAAAACATAATTTGCCTCCCAGCCGAAGCTTTCTCAGTTAAAAACTTGAGTTGAGTTCATGAGATGCTCCATTATGCAGCTGAACTTATAAGTTTAAAGAACTTTTTGGGACTTTATTAAGCAAAATGTCTCCAATTACAGAATAGAAGTACATCTGTATGTTCATTTTGTTTTGTTTTATTTCACTTTTGGAGGATTTGCGGCGTCCTTGATAACAAAATCAACACCAGGACTTAATAAATTCTGAGTCATCACTGACAGCAGCTCAGTATGATTTTCAACTAAAAGCAGAAATGTGTTGTATCTGAAAACCGATGATTGTTTTGCTGCTGCTTAACTCGGAGAAGATTCTTTAACTTCACAACAACAAAAGTTCCTTAAGGTGGTTCATTTATTATTATCCCCTGAACTGCTTTAAAATATATTTTGTTCACAAAAAACTAGTCAATCTTTTAGTCATTGCAGCCAGAAAAAATATCAAACAATTTTATCAAATGTTTTTTATGGCAATTATTGTAAAAGATGCATTTTCCTCTTTACTATGCCCAAAACATTTTTTTGAAATTGTATTTATTTTTTCTAAACTCCTGGCAGGGCTTTAGGAAGATATCCAGCCCATCGGGCCATCTCCAACTCTGTTGGTGGTGGGACATCATTTTTTTCTAAAACTTTACTTGTGCAGAACCAGTTGACCATCGAGCTGCTGCAGTCCGGTCCGTCTACAAACAGTGCCGTGTTTTCAGTCGAGCCAACAGAAGTCGGCTGTTCAGCCTGCCTGCAGGTCCAAGTTATTTTGAATTACTTGTGTACAACACCAGCATGTTTTTGCTCTTTACATCCCAACTAAAACAGCTTTGTTGGACAAGATGAGAGCAGACTTGACAGAAATGTCCACCCATGATATGCACACCTCTTCCAGGTAAGGACCGTCTGAGATTTTTATAATGTTCCTTAAGATAAAAGCGGATCTTTACCTAGTGACCTAACAAAGGTTAAGAATAAGAGGTACGTTTATAAAACATTGTTGAAAGAAATGCATTATTTTATGATGTGATAAATATGGATTAAAAATTATTTTATAATAGATTTCAATGTGGTAGTTTTTCTCCCAATGGACCACGAGGGGGCAGTAAAGTTACTGTGAGGTTACAGGGTTTGACAAAGTAAAAAATAAAAGTTTAGAAGGATTTTAAGCTTTGCCAGGAACCATTATATTAACTGACAACACCAAAAAGGTATAATGAAATAAAAACACAAAGTAAAATGAACCCTTCCAAGGGTTCATTCTGAACGAAGTTCTGAACCCATTTTTCTCAGAAGTGATCAGCAGATGAGAAAGACAACACATATAAAGTGACATCACATTCAAAAACCACCACCTAGTAGAACAAGTGTCAGGACTTAATCTACATTATCTTGTTTTGTTGTTTCCACTTTCACGTGCAGCGTTTCAGAGCGACTCACCAACTCGGAGCTTGAAGTCATTGAAGGAATGTTTATTGATAACATCCAATTTTCCCACTAAAGCAAAGGCAAACTCCACCATGGTTCCTATGTGCATGTACTGCCGGTCATGTTCCTGCAGGAAAACACACGTTAAACAACACTTTCTGAAACAATATAAACTGTTGCATGAATTACAAGTAGAAGGGATAAGAAGTGAGCCTACCTGCGAGGAATACTCAGTCCCAGATGACGTGTTCAGTCCAGTGGCAGCCATATAAGTGCTGCCAATTGTTTTGATCTTCTCCACACCGCTGAATTTGGGTTTGGAAAGTAGCTACAAATAAAAAATACATTAAATAAATTGATGCACACAACAGCTCAAGCAAATTAAAGACCAATAATGGTGCTATTAACAAATACTTGAACATCTACAACATAGTTTTCTTGATATAATGGTTGTTTCTTTAAAATGGAAAAAGTGTCACTCTTCCAAGAGCAGTCCAGCATTTTTACATGTGGTTGTAGTTAGCATGAGAGACCCTCCCGTTAGAAATGCAGTGAAAACTCTGAAAACTTATCACACTTAGTGTCTAACATTCCTGGGGCACATATAGGATGATGCAACAGTTGCAATATTGATGTTTGCTCACCTCATCAAAGTCAGCAATGATTTCGTTGAGCAACCTGAGGCACTCTAATCCCTCCTTGTTGACGTCTGATTCAGTGTAAAACTCCTTAAAGTCTGGGATAGAAGCAAACATGACGCACACCACGTCATAGGACTGATGGTACAGATCCTGCAGGACAGAAACACTCATGTTTGCTTCAACTGTTGCAAGGCAAAGTTACAACATCGGAGATGAAACAGATGAAGCACGGATTGATTCAATATTAAAATGTAAGATCAGGATGACAAGGGACTGACGGTTCAAGAACAAGAAAACACTGGAAAATAAATGGGAAAACCACAATGATTTCTCTAAAATGGACGAAACCCCCAACGTAGCTCCTGAGAGTCCGAGGCTGCCTTTCCATTCCCACGTACAGCAACTACCATGTTACCATTTAAAGTACCTACATAAACCTATTTATAAATCTAACAGCTGACTGTGTGAAAAGTATTCATGATATATAACAGGAAAACAGACTAAGTCAGGAAAGCTTTCTGACAACTACAAATATGTTCCATAAAAAAATCTATTTAGAACTTCACTTTTAACAGTTAATAAACCTGTAGGTGCTTGAAGATGTTCTTTCAGCCACAACACTTGTTCAGCTTTTTGTTGGACTTATTTAGAACAGACAAGTACCTACCTCGTTCTTCCAGTTGCGAGCCAAGAAGTGTTCTGCGACATGTGCAGGAAGGACGTTTTCCAGTAAAACCCGGTTGAGATTTTCCATGGTTTCAATCTCCTCACACTCCTTCTTGAACTTGTTCTTCCAGAGAAAGTCTAACCTACAGTAATATTCATTCTGTTACAAGAGGACACAGAGGTGAAGAGACTGAAGGTACAGCTGCACAGCTTGCTTCCATCAAGTCACAGAAAAGTAGAAATTACCACATTTATGGACGCCTCTGAAACTAAAGACAGAAAACACGCATCTCTGAAAGCAATCAGCAACAAACGATTGAAGCTTTGTTTAAATGACATGGTCTCCTCACAGCATTACAAAGGCGTTTATAAGTGGTGCTATCTTATAAGACAGGAACACTAGAAATATAACTTCTGATAGTCAGAGACCTGCCTGGCTGTGGTTAAAATAACTAATGTCTTGAGTCTGTGATGTTCAATTTACTCATGTTTGAGTTTGATCTGGATTGATGGGATCTATCAGAAGCAAACTGATTCCATCCTACAGTTTACTGGACTTTCAGGATCCAAAAGCAGAGACCTCTGAACAACATGTATCCAGAACATACTGCGCAGTCCTCAACTTTAATGTCTAGATTTCTTTGTGTCAGTAAAATCAGAATTACTGTGGACTCTTCAATGACTGACAGAAATGAAGGCAATACTTTAAACTGTGGAGAAGTAAAAAGCTTCACCATCTCTACTGAGCTCAGGGGTTGATTTTCACAAAACAGAAAACCACTTTGTTTATTGCTCCGTTGGACTGATGCTCTGGAACAACCAGAACAAGGACCCAAACTGTTCCTGAGATTAGAAATATAAAGCAGAGCTTATGTTTTTCAGCCTCAACTTTTTAATGCAACTAAAACAAGTTTCATTATACTTGGGCCTTAGATATTCTCTACAACTGAATATTACGGTGGCCCTGAGGTGTAAATGAACAACATTTGAAAAAACAGAATTACATTTCAAAAAACGCAACAAAAACAACAAAAACACAACAGTAGAAAAACAGAATTACATTAAGCCAAAGTGGAAGTGGCCGGAATCATATTTGAACAAACAGAATTACATTAGACCAAACAGGAAGTGGTGGGTTTTTTTTTTTGTGTGTGTGTTTTTTAATATTTTATTAACAACATAAAACAGAACAATGTACAGTACACACATAACAGAGGTACAGTTAGTAGGCTAGCCTTTAGCCTGTAGAAATGGAGTTATATTCAAGCTTAAAGAAGAAGATATGACGCTGGAAAAAACTCAGCAGGATCTTCAAGCTAATTAAGTTTTGTTGACATACATTTTAGTTTTACAAGTGCGGCATTAGCTTGTACCTAGCCTGCTAACTGCAACTCTTGTGTGTGCACTGTGCATTGTTCTTTTGTTCTGTTAATAAAGTAAAAAAAAAAAACACACATACAAAAAAAAAAAAAAAAACCTTCCGCTTTGGCTTAATATAATTCTGTTTTTTCAAACGTTGTGTTTGCTGCGTTTTTTTTTATGTAATTCTGTTTTTTCAAATGTTGTTCATTAACACCTCAGGGCCACTGTAGAATATAGACTATCAAAAACAAACAAACAAAGAAGTGATGCAGGAGGTAAAGTTTAGGATCCAGACAAAGAGCCTGGAGCAGGCAGCATGTATTTGGATAGAGAGAATGAAAGAAAACTTTCAGACAACTAATAAATTGGAACACAAAAATCAAATATTAGTGAAAAAAAACAAATACTGACAGTCCAGAGGTGAAACTTAGTCTTGCTGAAAGTGTTAGGAGTAAACTGGGCAAGAGATGACAGCAAATAATGTCATTCAAGTGAAACCTTACCTGTCTGGCAAGCACGAGCAGAGTGATGAAAAAGATAAAGAGAGAGATGGAGCCCATGGTTTTCAGATCCTTGAGAACTCCTGGCCTTAAGGGACAGAAAAAAAAAACATATCTGTAAGATAAACCTAAAAAAACAAACAGATGACAAAAATTAAGAGCAGAAAGAGAAAGATGTCATTGAGACGATGTAATTCCAAACTGATCACCATCAGCAGCGACACGTTCTCATGAATGGTTAGTGGAGCGTTTGATTCCAAGCTGTCGCTCAGTTTGAATCGTCTCCTCGGCTGTAGCGTGACAGGAGTTTGTTTACGGTTTGTTTCCCGGTGGGGACGCTTTTCTAACATGGTGGAAACGTTTCCCAAAGTGTTTACAGAAGATTCAGCACTGAATACAACTTAGGTTTTGTTCTTTCTCCAATTTTACCTTTTAATCGGATTCCTGTAGATAACACATGAAAAACAGAAATACTGTTTAAAGTATTTATGTGTCAAACTGTACATCTTCAAAATGTTTTTACGGCAGCAGAGTGGGGCCAGTTAGGTTTGTTGGCGCACTTTATATCAATTAATTCTCACAATTTCTTGCTTGAATACCAAAAGAACATTATTTTATTGATCATATCAGAGAAATTGGTGTTAGGAGCATACAGGTTCAAAATTAGAAGCAGTGTGCACAGGCTGCACTGGTCCAAAGACAAGCTGTCCAAGATCAAAGCCGACCTGGACCCAACATGTAATTGTTGTAAACAAACTCAAACTACACTCCTACATATATTCTGGACCTGTCCCACACTGCAGACCTTTTGGCAATCTATTTTTGACACATTTTCTAGGATATGTGGCAAAACTGTACACCCATCACTACTCATCTCACTGTTCGGGGTGGTCCCTGTGGATATGTCCTTCAGCAGGTAGATGGACGATGTGATTGCTTTTGGCTCTCTCTTGACCAGGAGACTTGTTTTGTGAAAGTGGAAGGACACACCCCCCCCCCAGCCCCCCAGTATATGTACATTGGATAAGAGACGTGAAGTATCATACCCATCTGGAAAAATAAGATATGGGGGAGTGGTGGCGCAGAGGTTAGAGAGGTGGGCCTGTGATCCGAAGATCGCCGGTTCACGCCCCGACCCCGACAACATCAAAAATTGTGTGGGTGGGGTAGGTGAAACACCCACACTTGCCCCCACCCTCATTCGCCCCACTCTGGGCCCATGAGCAAGGCCCTTAACCCCCACCATGTGCTCCTTAAACAGGTCTCTCTTGAAAATGAGTTCTCGTGGCTCAATGAGACTACCTGTATAAATAAAGGCTAAATGAAAAAAAAAAAAATGAAAATATACCCTGAAGGGTTATTTTTAAAAGATGTTGGGACACTTGGCATGTTGTATGTAGAAAACATGTCAATGCCTCGTTAATTTGTTTGCGAGTGACTGATCTGATGTGGGAGGGAAGGGGTGGGGGGTGTTCCATGTTTTGTCTTTATTCTTTTGTTGTATGTAAATAAAAAAATCAATAAAAAGACAGATTTAAAAAAATCAAAAGCATTAAAAACAACAAACAACACCACAAGCAGTGAGCAGTGGTTGGAAATGAGACGTAAGGACAGAGAAAACTGTACACAACAGTTTTCATAGTAGTGGTGTGCAGGTTTAAGTTTACTGGTGTTCATCTGTTAGAAGGTGAATTTTCAAACAGCAGGAGTGATTTTCTGGAGCCTCTCTCTGTGGCACCAGAGCTGAGTCAGTCCATCTGGAAAGGAGCTTCGCTGATTTTGTAGGGTGTCATGAAGGAGATGGGACAGTTGTCCAATTAGACAAGTGATCTCTTGTCATTCTTGACTTAAACATCTCCAAGTTCTGCCTGATGATTTTTACAGCTTTTCTTTAAATTGAGGAATGATGTTTTTAAAATTAATAATAGCTACAGTGCCTTGCGAAAGTATTCGGCCCCCTTGAACTATTCAACCTTTTGCCACATTTCAGGCTTCAAACATAAAGATATAAAATTTTAATTTTTTGTGAAGAATCAACAACAAGTGGGACACAATCGTAAAGTGGAATGAAATGTATTGAATGTGTCAAACTTTTTTAACAAATAATAAACTGAAAAGTGGGGCGTGCAATATTATTCGGCCCCCTTGCATTAATACTTTGTAGTACCACCTTTTGCTGCAGTTCCAGCTACAGTCTCTTGGGGTATGTCTCTCAGTTTTGCACATGGAGACACTGAAATTTTTGCCCATTCTTTCTTGCAAAACAGCTCGAGCTCAGTGAGGTTGGATGGAGAGCGTTTGTGAACAGCAGTCTTCAGCTCTTTCCACAGATTCTTGATTGGATTCAGGTCTGGACTTTGACTTGGCCATTCCAACACCTGGATACGTTTATTTGTGAACCATTCCGTTGTAGATTTGACTTTATGTTTTGGATCATTGTCTTGTTGGAAGATAAATCTCCGTCCCAGTCTCAGGTCTCTTGCAGACTCAAACAGGTTTTCTTCCAGAATGGTCCTGTATTTGGCCCCATCCATCTTCCCATCAATTCTGACCATCTTCCCTGTCCCTGCTGATGAAAAACAGGCCCAAACCATGATGCTGCCACCACCATGTTTGACAGTGGGGATGGTGTGTTCAGGGTGATGAGCTGTGTTGCTTTTATGCCAAATATATTGTTTTGCATTGTGGCCAAACAGTTTGATTTTGGTTTCATGTGACCAGAGCACCTTCTTCCACATGTTTGGTGCGTCTCCCAGGTGCTTGTGACAAACTTTAAACAACACTTTTTATGGATATCTTTGAGAAATGTCTTTTTTCTTGCCACTCTTCCATAAAGGCCAGATTTGTGCAGTGTATGACTGATTGTTGTCCTATGGACAGACTCTCCCACCTCAGCTGTAGATCTCTGCAGTTCATCCAGAGTGATCATGGGCCTCTTGGCTGCATCTCTGATCAGTCTTCTCCTTGTTTGAGATGAAAGTTTAGAGGGACAGCCGGGTCTTGGTAGATCTGCAGTGGTCTGATACTCCTTCCATTTCAATATGATTGCTTGCACAGTGCTCCTTGGGATGTTTAAAGCTTGGGAAATCTTTTTGTATCCAAATCCGGCTTTAAACTTCTCCACAACAGTATCTCGGACCTGCCTGGTGTGTTCCTTGGTCTTCATGATGCTCTCTGCACTTTGAACAGAACCCTGAGACTATCACAGAGTAGGTGTATTTATACGGAGACTTGATTACACACAGGTGGATTCTATTTATCATCATCAGTCATTTGGGACAACATTGGATCATTCATAGATCCTCACTGAACTTCTGGAGTGAGTTTGCTGCACTGAAAGTAAAGGGGCCCAATAATATTACACGCCCCACTTTTCAGTTTTTTATTTGTTAAAAAAGTTTGACACAT